AGCAGCAGCAGCAGCAGCAGCAGCAGCAGCAGCAGCAGCAGCAGCAGCAGCAGCAGCAGCAGCAGCAGCAGCAGCAGCGCCTACCCGGCAGGTTGTCTGGGTTGGGGTTGGAGGGGAGGTGCTTCCTAATGCAATAGTCAATGAAGTCGGGGGTCGGGTGCTGGAACAGCGAGTCGGTTGCTGCATCTCGGGGGTAGACGCCAACAGCTGCTGCTGCTGCTGCTGCTGCTGCTGCTGCTGCTGCAGCAGCACTGCTGCTGTCTTCCGAGGCGTTCGCGCTGCAGCTGGTTCCTGCTGCTGCTGCGTCTGCGGTATCTTTTCGGCGGGGGATTTTAGCGTGTCTGAGCAGCAGCAGCTGCTGCTGCTGCTGCTGCTGCAGCGCCTCGGGGTCTGCAACGGCCGCAGCAGAATTATCTCCGCCCAAGCCGGAAAGACAAGAAGGTATATCTGAGCAGCAGCCCGCGGGCCCTGCTGCTGCTGCTGCTGCTGCTGCTGCTGCTTCTGCTGCTGCGGCGGAGAGGAGGGAGAAGTCCCCGGCGCAGGGGGGCGCGTGGTGCTGCTCTGCTGCTGCTGCCCAGGGCTGCTCCTGCTGCTGCTGCTGCTGCTGCGCGTCTGCAGCAGCAAAAGGGGACAGGAGGCCCTCCGAAGAGGCCCCCGAAAGGTCTGTCTCTTCTGTCACTGTGAAGGCTGAGGAAACTGGCAGGTGGAGGGGGCCCCCCTCTGGGGGGCCCCCCCCCTTGGAGGGTTTTTTTTGAAAGTCCGTCTCGAGTTTGTTGTCTCCGTCGTCGGTGCTGACTTCTGCTGCTGCTGCTGCTGCTGCTGCTGCAGCGGCCTGCTGCTGCTGCTGCTGCTGCAGCAGCTCCTGCTTGGGCCACAGCAGCGAGCGGGGACTCTGCTCGCTAGTGCCCGGGGGGCCCCCGCTGCCAGCTTTGGGGCCCAGGAGGCCCTCGAAGCTGGGGGCGAGCTCGAGAGCAGCAGCAGCAGCAGCAACAGCAGCAAAGGGGGGCCCCTCGTCGCCCTCGACCTCGAGGGCCTGGGGGGCCCCCCGGAGGCCCCTGCGCGGGCTGAGGGCCCCCAGGCCCGTGGTGAGGCGGCGGCGCAGCAGCGCTGCTGCTGCTTCCCCCAGGGGGCCCCCATTGGTGGGGCTGCAGCCCGTAGAAGAGGGTAGTGAACCCTCTCCTCCGGGGGCCCCCTCGGGGTCGGGGGGCCCCCTGAGGCGCTGCAGAAAGGGGAGGCAGAGGCGCCTCTTTTCGCCTGCGTTTGCGGGGCTTGTGGACTGCGTAAAAGGGTACTGGGGGGACCCCACAGGGTGGGGGGCCCCCAGGGGGCCCCCGGGGGCCCCCAGGGGCAGCAGCAGCGAGGAAGGGCTGTGGGCCTCGCACAGCAGCGCCTCCGCAGCAGAGGATATGCTGCAGGGAGAGGGCCCCTGGCTCTCCTCCCCAGCAGCAGCAGCAGCAGCAGCAGCAGGCGCCTCTGCTGCTGCTGCAGCAATGCCGGGCAGCCACATTGTGGGGACTGGGGCCGCAGGGGGCCGCAGCAGGGCGCGGCCGGAGACTGTTGGGGGGGAGACAGGTGTTGCAGCTGCGGCGCTGCTGCAGCAGCAGAGGTGCCGGTGCTGCTGCTGCGGCTGCTGCTGCAGCAGCAAAAAGAGCAGCAAACAGACACAAACGCGGGGACACAGGAAGAGGGAAGAAGGAAGCAGCAGCAGCCGCGGGGGCGGGCGGGCCCGGGGGGCGCTGAGGCCCCAACGGGGACACAGGCAGCAGCAGCGCGGGGGTGCTGCAGCGCAGCAGCAGCACGGGGGGGCCCCTCGAAGCAAAAGTTGAACTTTTCAAACTTAATTCAACAAAGAGAGCAGCAAGCGCGCAAACACAGGCAGACGCAGCAGCAAAACCCGCCGTCGATAGCTGTGGCCGCGGGGGAGCAGCAGGGCTGGCTGCAGGGTGCGGGTTGGCTGGGGGGGGCGCGGGGGGCCGTGGGGGCAATTCTTTCCGCAAAAACCCAGAAATATTTACAAAATTGTACTTTTTATTGCCTTTTTCCCCCAAAAATCCCAAACTTTCGCCCTTTTAACGGCCCAAACGCCCCACACCCCCGCCCCCCAGCGCCCTGCGCAGACACCACCCCGCAGCGGACTGGTCTTCGCGGTGTATATACACCTGAGGGGCCCCCCCGCCCGGCCGGGGGGGCCCTTCTTCTTTCTTTTCGTCTTCTGCGGCGCCGGGGGCCCCTCGGGGCCCTCTAATGGTACAATTGGGGGCCCCTCCTGCGCCCCGGCGCCCCTGGCTGCAGGAACTCCCACAAAACAAACAAATGCCACTTTTTGCACAAGAGACAAAAGCAAAACTCCAATTCCCGCAGCCTTGGGGGGCCCCCAGCCGGGGAAGGCCCCCCTGGCCGCGCCCCAACGCCGCAGCGGGGGCCTCAACCCCGGGGGGCCCCCCGCCTCCTTCTGCGGCGGGGGGGCCCCCCGGGGGGCCCCCCCCGCCGCCCCGGGGGCCCCC